TCCCACCCTCGCAGGTTGTTTAGGCCTAGGGCTAGAATTAGGTGCCAACACGTCTTGCTGTCAGTCATGGCTTTGCCTGCGTCGAGACTGGGACACTCTAGCCCAGGACAGGCGTTGCAACTTTGGCTGACTTGATCTGATTGGGCAGGAACACAGTCTAAACTCATTGGTGGATTCTCCATCTCCGTGCTGAGAAAAGGCGTTCAGGTAAGACAACGCCCCTTCTCTTCCTTGTCTGTTATGGAGAAGCTCCTGCTGGGTCTTTTTTTGGATTTGACGAAGGGCAGTTGTGATAGCCACAAGTTCTGAGGGCTTCCTCGACATGTTTTAGTTCTTTTTTTTTTCCATCTTTGCTGGTAGACAAACTTTCAGCCCGGTGGTATAGGGTTCTGATCATTCCCATTTTGTGCTCTAGTGGGTGCTGAGAATCAAAATATAGATATTGATCTCTGTGTATGGATTTTCTGTAAACTTTGATGTTAAGGCATTTTGTCTTCTTTAATGTGTAATGCACAGTCCAGGAAGACCAGACTATTTTCCTTAACATCTTTCCAAGTGAATTTAATATATCTGTCCATAGAGTTGAATTGTTTGATGAAGGCTTCTAATTCCTGTGTTTTAATCTTGATTCAAGTATCATCCACCTAGCTATACCTGTGAGTGGATAGAATTTCTGTGAAGATGTTTAGGCTTTGGTTTCTACCTTTTCCATGTAGAAATTGGCCACAATGGGGGACACAGATGAACCTATGGTATAGCCATGTTTTTGTCTGTAGAAATCTTCATTGTATTTAAAATAGGTAGTAGTCAGGCAGAGGTCTAGCAAAGCACATATATATTCTGGGCATACTGTGAGGGAAAAAATTATTTGATTCCCTGCTGATTTTGTATGTTTGCCCACTGACAAAAACAAGATCAGTCTATGACTTTAATGGTAGGTTTATTTTAACAGTGAGAGACAGAATAACAACAACAAAAATCCAGAAAAAAGCATTTCAAAAAAGTTATAAATTGATTCGCCTTTTAATGAGTGAAATAAGTATTTGACAGTACTTGGTGGCAAAACCCTTTTTGGCAATCATAGAGGTCAGACTTTTCTTGTAGTTGGCCACCAGGTTTGCACACATCTCAGAGGGATTTTGTCCAATTCCTCTTTGCAGTTCCTCTCCGAGTCATTAAGGTTTCAAGGCTGATATTTGGCAGCTCAAACTTTCAGCTTCCTCCACAGATTTTCTATGGGATTAAGGTCTGGAGACTGGCTAGGCCACTCCAGGATCTTAATGTGCTTCTTCTTGAGTCACTCCCTTGTTGCCTTGACCGTGTGTTTTGGGTCATTGCCATGCTGGAATACCCATCCACGACCCTTTTTCAATGCCCTGGCTGAGGAAAGGAGGTTCTCACCCAAGATTTGATGGTACATGGCCCCATCCATTGCCCCTTGGATGCAATGAAGTTGTCCTGTCCCCGTAGCAGAAAAACACCCCCAAAGCATAATGTTTCCACCTCCATGTTTGACGGTGGGGATGGTGTTCTTGGGGTCATAGACAGCATTCCTCCTCCTCCAAACACGGCGAGTTGAGTTGATGCCAAAGAGCTCGATTTTGGTCTGATCTGACCACAATACTTTCACCCAGTTCTCTGAATCATTCAGATGTTCATTGGCAAACTTCAGACAGGCCTGTATATGTGCTTTCTTGAGCAGGGGGACCTTGCGGGCACTGCAGGATTTCAGTCCTTCACAGCGTAATGTGTTACCAATTGGGACTATGGTCCCAGCTGCCTTGAGATCATTGACAACATCCTCCCGTGTAGTTCTGGGCTGATTCCTCACCGTTCTCATGATCGTTAAAACTCCACGAGGTGAGATCTTGCATGGAGCCCCAGATGGAGGGAAATTAGAAATTATTTTGTGTTTCTTCCATTTGCAGAATAATCAGACTAACTGTTGTCATCTTCTCCCCAAGCTGTTTGGCAATAGTCTTGTAGCCTATTCCAGTCTACAATCTTGTCCCTGACATCCTTGGACAGCTCTTTGGTCTTGGCCATGGTAGAGAGTTTGGAATCTGATTGATTGATTGCTTCTGTGAACAGGTGTCTTTTATACAGGTAACAAGCTGAGATTAGGAGCACTCCCTTTAAGAGAATGCTCCTAATCTCAGCTCGTTACCTGTATAAAAGATACCTGGGAGCCAGAAATCTTGCTGATTGATAGAGGATCAAATATTTATTTCATTCATTAAAATGCAAAACAATTTATAACTTTTTTGAAATGATTTTTTCTGGATTTTTTTTGTTATTATGTCTCCCACTGTTAAAATAAACCTACCATTAAAGTTATAGACTGATCATTTCTTTCTCAGTGGGCAAACGTACAAAATCAGCAGGTGATCAAATAATTTTTCCCTCACAGTACTTCCCTTGCTGGACCTCTCCAAGCCCAGCGATGCAGAGACAAAACCACTCCAAGCCCAATGTGTGGTATGAAGACCCAGCCATCCAGCCAGTTCTGTAATGCAAGCCAGCCTTGAGACCTTGTAGTCCATACTCAGTTGACCTTCTGCTTCTTCAGATGACATATGCATGAACTAATTCTCTATGAGGCATCTTCTGGCCTCATGAAGCTTTCTTCCCACAATGAAATTGCCACACTGAACAAGAATACAGTCTTGTGTTCCCAGCAGCTGTTTCACAAAGGCCGTGCATGCTTATCAGTAATGACAGCAAGAAGACAGTAAATATTAATTTCTGCTCATAAGTACTTTAATATATGAAGATATTTGTTTTTGGAAATCTGTTTTGGGGCTGATTAATTATCCAAGAAAATGATAACTTATCACTGCTATAGCATTAGATCAGACATGTCCAAAGTCCGGCCCGCATTAGATCAGACATGTCCAAAGTCCGGCCCGCGGGCCATTTGCGGCCCGCGGCCCGGTTTAATCCGGCCCTCGAGCAGCCCTCCCTGCTCTATATAAATGCGGCCCTCCCACGGCCCTCCGGCAAGTCCCATGAGAGAGAGAGAGAGAGAGAGAGAGAGAGAGAGACAGAGGCACTTGCACTTCTGTCTCTCTCTCTCTCTCTCTCTCATGGGACTTGCCCCCTCGCAGGGCTCCTCATTGGCCCTGCGCCCTGTTACCCCGCCCCCAGCCGCAAGCCACCAT